ACTGCAATGCAAAACCAAAATTAAAGTTAGAAAGTTCTTATTTAAAGCAAAAGAAGTTTTACGGCCATTCTTGGCTAAACCTTTAGTTTCTTTAAAAGAATGCATCCCAGAACGGAAGGCAAATTTAGATCAGCGTTCCAAACCCAATACAATATTTAGAGCGCACAAGATCTGTGTTTTTACACTTAACAAAAGCATTTGAAAAATTAGAGAGATCGGTCACGCTCCATAGCTCCCATGTTTTCATGTGCAGTAGATCTGATCAATTTTGCGAAAAATGAAAGGGACACTGACCGCAGCTCATTATGAAACATAGTTGGAGTAGCTGGAAACGCAGTAATTCCTAAATGTGTTAACTTTGTAGGCAAAACAAATAAAATTAAGCAAAACGGAAGTGTTTTTCTTTTGTCTCACTCAAAACTTTTTGGCTAGTAACAAAAAACAGTAAAAGTTTGCTTTTGACCTCTGCTGACCTTCTAAAATCAACGGAGAACAGTTCCTTTGTTAAGCGTGATAGCAAAACCCTAGAGCTAAGACTTCACTCGTAAGACGGTCAATCCAAAAGTTATTCGCTACTCAAATAAGTCTGTTCAAACACTAGTATTTATTATTATTATTTTCTTGGTGTATGAGGTTTTGAACAATATACCGTATTGCAAACGTATTCTAACTATTTTTTTAAACTCTTGCTTGTAAAGATCATACCAGAGTGTTGTGAAAAAATAAACTGACAAAAATTTCTTTTACTACTTCTTCCCGCATTATTAAACCGACGTTTACCCCAATCGATGTGCTGAAAATGTTAACCTTGGCAGAAGGGTATCTGCAAAATCGCAGTGATTGTTCGAGTACACAAATTTGAGTTACGTTTTCTCCGAATCTTCAGTTCTAAAAAGAAGAGACATCATAAACATTCGCAGCGAGGGCATTACAAGTACCGCCGTTTTGTGAGTCATCGCTTGAACAAATCTGCTTTATGATTAGAAATGTTAAATCCACGTTTACTCGCACTGTACATATGTATCTGACTCGGTCTCTTTTTTCGTGAATGCTTATTAATGGTGAGCATTTTAGTAAACTGGGAAATGTTGTACATGTATAGCTTTGGCACAGCCTCAAAGTTGGCATGCATTTGTACTGAAACTTCCTTTCTCATCTCGATTTTACTTTTTGCTCATCATCGTCCATGAATTTTTGGAATTGCGATGACACATGTTTATGGGAAAGACGTTTGCGGAGACAAAAAGCAATATAAAAATGATTAGGCACATTTTTGGTCACATTTCTATGTAGAAATGTCTTTGTCATTGTTTTGAATTGCCAAACAAATGAGTAATTCATCTGAAAAAGCCGGTTGTGTACATACATTGAACCAAATAAATACATGCCCCGCCAAAAATTTCTGTTGTTGAGGGCTTTGCCTCAGTTCACTTATCTATTAGCTCATAGGATAAAGTAGCTGTGTGGTTTTCCCAGCTTGCTTACCTCCTAAGTGATCTTTTTCTAATTTTTCAATAATTTCTTTGATTTTAATAAGATCGATAAGAAATATTTGTTCTATTCTCATGCTTTTTACATTTTCCACAATTACGCCTTGTAGATGTTTCGTGTTTTGCTTATCATTCCACTTCTGGCGCTGTGTGAAGCTCTACGCCAGCAGTCCATCGCTGTCAAAGGAAGACTTCTCTGTGGCACAGCACCGGCTGCAAACGTGAGAGTAAAGCTATTCGACGTCGATACTGGTAAGCACACACTGACTCAGATGTTTGAAAAGTAGGACTGCGCCACTTTTTTTCATTCTTCGTTTCATGCTTTTAAGTACTGAGATATCTTCCAACAGTGCGCTAATCGGATGAGAAAAATTGTTGTTCGGATAATGTGACAAAAAGTATACAAATCAGCTAAAAAATCAATTGATATGAAGAGAATAGTGGTAATGCTTACCTATCTTTCTATTGTCGTTACAGGATGTTAAACATT